AGACCACCATCCACAACAAACCAAAGGATTTTTTTCCGTATCCCTTCTTACTCTGCCGCCAGTCTCTTCTTTTTTGCCTCCATCCTTTGTTGTGGCGCGCCCTTGACAGTGTTGCCTTCCGTGCTCCCCTAGTACTACCAAGAGTTGCCCTCCCCCCTGCTCAATCCACTTGCAGCATATGGGCGGACCTCCCAAATCGCCACATCACGGTGGCCCCTTCTCGCTCAAAGCTCCTTATTTTCGCTTTCAGCAACACTTATCTTCTGCTCGCGCATCCTTATACCCATGCGTATGTAGCCGAAGCCAGAACAACTTGGGCCAGAATTTAATGTAAATGCACCTCATTCTTGCCCTACTCTGCAGGCCGGTTCGATAGGTTTGTAACCGCAGTATGGTTTTCCACACATGACTTCAATGTTATACTGATTTGCTTCCCATCCGACTGCACGCCATTTTTTTGCTCCACAGACCGCATCGGAAAGTTCAACGGAAGCTGCATACCCTACGGTGTGGTGATGGGCTTCCAAGTGCCACCGCACCAGTTCTTCTCTCTCGTTGACTCGTTGAGTCGGGAAAAGACGTGTGAGCAGTCCTACGGAAGACGAGACGACGGCCCAATTTTTCTGCGTGCAACAGAGTAGTTACAGCGTATTACAGGTTTCTCTCCTCAGCACAAACCTGTACACTCTCTCTCTCAGCACAACGAAAGAGTTTTACAGAGCGATTTTCGCAGTTTTTTTGCCTTCTGCCTCGGCCCAGTGCTCTGTCATTGGTTAAATAGCCGAAAAACAAGCCCACGCGCATCGCGGGCGGCTCTTAGCCGCCCCGACACACTGGACGCCTCTTTCACTGGCACATCTTTTGATAAAGATGGACACGCCTTTGATGGCACACCTTTGATGAATTGGGCACGCCTTTTGATGGCACGCTTTTTGACAAACTAAAAAAAAAAAAAAAAAAAAAAAAAAAAAAAAAGAAAAAAGGGGTTTTTTTTTTTTTTTTTTTTTTTTTTTTTTTTTTTTTTTTTTTAGGAAAAAAGAAAATAAAATAAAATAAAGTGAAAATGGAGCCCACGGTGGTTGTGTTCAAATCAACCCATGATGGTGCTAGCCATTAGATTAATAAAATATGAACTCATAATGGTGCCAGCCATTAGATGGTGCTAGCCATTAGATTAATAAAATATGAACTCATAATGGTGCCAGCCATTAGACGAAGAAAATATGAAAGAGACATTGATTTGGGTGCAGGGTGACCCATTGAGTTGGGAAAACCAGCATATGGTTTGTTGGTTTTGTTTGTTCAAAAAATATTTTTTTTAAAAAAAAAAAAGAAAAGGAGGTGGTGGAGGATAAGGTGATGAATAAAAAATAAAATAAAGGAGGAAGTCCGAGGGAGAGAGAGAGAGAGAGAGTTTTAGTGGGTAGATACATGCGTATATCTCTCTCAATCACAGACACAAGTAGTAGGAATGTCCGTGTCTCTGGAGTTCGGACCTTGAAATAAATACAACTGCTTTTCTTCCACCGACGCTAAATCAGAGAGAGAGAGAGTGGTCGGTCGTTGGTGGTCAATCTAATCATGTCTTCCGGCAGGTATATGGCCTACTTGTTAAAGAAAAATATGTCCAGATCCCTCCCCATGTGTGGGTCTTGGGAGAGAGAGAACCCGATCAGCCATAAAGACGTCCAGCCGACACCACAGTAAGCCGTAGACCCACCACAACCACCTCTGCTTCAGTGACCAGATTACACAGCACAGTCCCACCAAAACACACCACCGTAGCCACCAAAGAAGGTCAAACCCCAACAAAGGGCACCACTGACCCACGACGAGAAGACCATCGGAAAAAAAAAAAAACTTACAAGTGGCATGCCAGCGAGACAAACTAGGACGATCTGAGTTGGCACGGCATGCTGGGTTCTTAAAGTTGATCGTTGGGTCGTCTGCCATGGTGACGTGAAGGGAGTCCAGGAGTTGCTGGACGATGGTATTGATGTAAATAGCATAGACTTGGATGGGAGGACTGCTTTGCACATTGCATGGCACATTGCTGCCTGAGATTGAGTGGGTGCTGGTAATGGATGAGAAGATGGTGGCTCGATGTCGCCATTGATGAACAAATATGTGTGAGGCAGAGAAGAGTTCAGCTATGACTTTCTGGCAGCGGAGTGAAGGTATGTGTAGAAAATAAGCGGACTAGGTTGAGGTCCGGCGGGCGGCCAAGGCGAGGTTGCCGCCCGCCGGTGAAGCGAAAAAATACTAAGTTAAATTCTTAACCTTGCTCTGATACCATGTTAAAAAATGATGTATTATTGATTGATGTATTGAATGTTGTGTATATTACAAATGGTGAGTGGCTCATTATATAGGAGAGGGTGAGTGTAGTAGGTGAGGAGTAGGTGAGGAGTAGGTGGTGGTAGGTGATGGTAAATTGGTGGTAGGTGAGGAGTAGGTGGTGGTAGGTGATGGTAAATTGGTGGTAGGTGATGGTAAATTTTAACATTACTGATATCACACTTCAAAATTAAAATTATGGTCTGATGGTTGCTTTCATTCTTGTCTCTAGAAATTAACTATGACGGTCTATTTAAAAAATGGAGTTCAGAAATTTGAAATTTGTAATTTGTACGGCAAGTTAGTTGTTACTGAAGTCGGACAAATCTTTCGGTGAGCTATGGTACTCAACAACTAAGCTATGGCTACATGGCAACAATAAGACAATTTATCACCTAACTAAGCATTTTTTTAACGAGAGGTTGATTCCCATGATTCAAATCCAGATCACAGTACTAGGGCAAATGAACACTTGCCGTCACGCTTGACCATGGCCTCTCCCTAACCTTCCTTTAAAGTGGGATCCTTGCACTAGGTATGGTCTTTATAGAATTTTGAAGTTAAGAGCTCAAACCAGTTTATTCCATTGCAATCTAACCCACCTTTTCTAAATCTTTGAGTGTGCTATGATACTCTGCTTTTACCATGGTTGAAGACCTGTCAATTGTGAATCTGTGATTCTTACAAATTATAAGTAATGATGCCAAATATTGTGAAGTAAAATCTTACAGAAACTACACATATTGTTCACCTAATGAACTTATGCCTATGCAGTGTTATGTTTGTGGTAGTCAGTAGGTCCATTTGTTGAGTTGTGCAGCTAGTTGTAGGCTTCTGCTATATAATATTCACATCACCCAGTTTTTGCATGCCTTGCTAGTAAATTTCAGATTTTCTTTGCCTAGTGCATATAATTAGAAGATATATCTTTGTCATTCTGGAGAACTAATACTAGTAAAATCCTTTGGAATTTCCATCATCTAGTGGATAGGCAGTGATGATACTGATTGAGATAAGGGCTTTTGGGCCATGACCAAGGTTTTGAAAAGCGGTTGTGGTCGCCGTAATGGTTGCGGAGTGTAAAAGCCATAGTGTAACGGCTGTGGTAACTGGAATCTTGATTTTTTTTATTTTTCTCACAATTTGAAGAAAATTTACCGATACGCATATTTTTTTTTTCTTTTCAAAATCATATTTATTTGGGTTTAAAATAAATTTTGATCAATTTTTATTAATTTTTAAATATGATCCAATATATTTCATGTTTTCAAATCACTACAAAAGGAGTTTTTTACATTTTATTTTAATAGTTAATGATTTTAAGAATAATTGATTTTAAATGTCTACAAATTATTTTTTACCAATAATATCTAAACAAAATGAATAAAAAATATCCACAATTATTAAATGAAAGGATTATAAAATAAAAATTATGCCATAAATTAAAAAAAAAATTATAAAGAAAAAACTTCATATAAGATTTTTTCTTTGGGTTTGGATCACTTGAGTATTTATTCTTTTTTTGTAAGCTCTATTTTTTATTTTTTTTTTTGGGGAAAAGTAAACTATTCAGAATATTGTAAAGAGTAAAACAGTGTCTAACAGACCGTTACGATACTACTATGGCTATTACACATGTGAATTTCCTTCACACCGCTATAACGGGGGGTGGTAACCACCACAACCGTTACGTAACGACGTTACGTAATAGTTGCGGCCATTTTTTAAAACCTTGGGCATGACCTATCTTACTAGTGTCACAAGATTTGGTTAGGCTTAGTGGTGACAAAGAATGAAGAGAATGGATGAGAGAAGATTTGGCATGTAGGAAAAGTTGTTATGTGAGTTAATTGTTTTGAAATTACTTCTATTGTCATATCTTAAAATATGAATTAGTTAAGCTATGTTTCTTAATTTGGAGAACAAACATTGTCCATGGCTAGCTCATGCTACGAAATTGATGGTTGCCTGTGCCTTGGTGAATTTACCAAACTACCTATTTGGTTTTCAATAAACATAACAATCTTCTGATTTTTTCAAACTATATATTATGAAGTGATGTTCTGTCACAAAACCAGGTTTGGGGGCAGTAGGAGGAGTGGAAAAGGAGGGAGATTGGATTGGTTGAACTTTATTCAAATTGTAATGTTAATCAATCACATTCATGCATATACTATATATTAGCGCTTGGCACACGTGATGCGTGTGCAGTTCAAATAAATAAAAGCAAAACAAATTATTCACTACATGCTGTGTGCCACTCAAGTAGTAAGAGTCTTCTTCATCAAACATTAGGTCTAAGGTTCAAGTCACACTCCTCTCCTTTATCTATTTTTTTTTTTTTTAAATTTTTAAATAGAAAAACGAACGCCTGGCAAAAAGAGAGAAGAAGCTTTAGGACACCAAGTGAGTTGTTTACTTTTTATATAGTATAGATATATGGACAAAAAACTATACAGCAGTCGAATTTAATCATTAACTTTTGAGTAGACTTAATGTTAAGGTTACAAACCAATCCTGTCAGCAAATATCTTTTTTTAAAGCTGTTAAATATTTCTGATCTCTAATATGATCCTTGTTAGTTCATCAAATTAGTTAATTAACACAATCTATACCAATCTTTCATGACAATTATAATGTATATATTTCTTCTTTGCTTCTAGGATAACATTGGAGTTTTTGTGGACCAAAATGGGAAGCTTCTTCAAGAAGGCAGGATTTGTTGGTCTGAGGCCCCTACCACTGTTTTCATTCAGAAGCCATATACTGTAGGCCTCTTACCAAGATATGTTGAGGTAGTTCGACTATTCCATTATGCAATCTAACAGTCTTGGTTCTTTTATATTGGCGTAGTTTGGTATGCATTCATGTTCTTTCTACTATTTGAGGTTTGCAGATACGGTCTCTCCGAGTTCCTTATCCATTAATACAGACTGTTGTTCTCCGTAATGTTCGGCATCTTCTACAAACCAACTATGCCATGATTGTTGCATTAGACAACTCTATTTATGGGCTGTTTCCCGTTCCTCTTGGTGCCCAGGTATACCTTGGACCCTAGAAGATTTACAATACTTTTATCTGATTAGTTATGGCTTGTATTTTGCATACAAACACTGTCCCCTGCACTAGTAAATTAACTTGATGGATAACTGTGAAAAGCAAAATGTTAATGTTGTTTGGATATCTGTCATAGACTTCTCATGCTATGCCATTACATAATTTGCAATTTGATAAGTGTAATTGTATTGATAAAGTTTTGTACATATTTGGTTCCGCTATCTCCCACCTGACTTCATATCCATGTCCAATTATTGTGTTAATCACAGAAAGTTTTTTGGTATTTATTTTGGGAAGGTGATGCATAAGGCTGTGGAAGAGAAGCTTTGAACCATGCTGTTCATCCATGGTTCATCTTGGTCTATGGTTGTTGGTCAAAGAGATTGCCTTATTCATGTTTGTAGCCACTGGCCATCATGCTGCATGACTATGATGCATTATGTGACAACAATAGATCAATTCATTATAAACTAATATCAGAGTCATGACTGTACTGCTTAACAAGAGTTCATTTAGTCTCTATTTGATTGCTGTGGAGACAACATAACAAGTGATAATCTTGATTTGACAGTAAATTTGGTTGGAGCAATTGTGTCATAGATGTCTCCTCCCCACCCATGAGGAAAAAAGAGGTTCTAGTGCAAAGTGTCAGTTCTTTCATGGACAAGACTCAATCTTGATAATATAGTGCAAAACCTCTCAAAGTTTAGAGTCTAGATTGTGAAAAATGAGAATTCATTGAACAATGGATGCAAAGGTCAAGAACAGTCAAAGAACTCCATAAAGGTTGCTAATTTTTGAGTTTCCGCCTAATGATGTACTAAGTATGATTTATTTATGATTTGGGACTGACAAGCAAAGTAAAGTCAAATTATGGGGAAACTCACATAGGCACTTGAGGGCTCTGCTACGCGTTAGAAAAATCTTGGAAAAACAGAAGATGCCATTGCTTGAGCCTTAAATAAAGCTGTGTATGGGAGCTCGAGCGCTCATCAAGCATTGGCAAGGCACACATGGGCACTTGAGTGCTCATCTTGAAAATCGTGCAAATTCACGAACTTTGTTAAAAATGCATCCCAAGGTCAGTGCAATACTCATCAAATGCAAAAAGATCAAATTTGTTTCACTTTGAAAACACGTGTCTTAAGCAACACTCCACATGAAGTGTAAATATGCATGTGAGGGTAACAGAGTGATGTCTGCAACTGCTAATTTGATTCTCCAACTTGAACGTTCTCAGCACTAATCCATGGTTCCAAGTCATTGTATCGGGAGACATAATGGTAACGGTCATGGTGTAAAAGTATTGGAACAATATTTATCAAAAATCAAGTGACACCTTTGTAAATATTTTAAATTCATTAGCAACCCTTCTAAAACTCAATGATTCACATTGTTTGACTCTAGCAGTTCAATTTGTCACATTTAATCAATATTTTTTATATATAGAAACAATTTTTGCTAACATGAAATTTTACTATATCACAAAATGGTGAAGTCTCAAATGGAATTTTGTGTACCAATTAAAATAAAAATAAATAGAATTTTACCTTTAGTAATTTGTCAAATCATTATAGGCTAGGGAAAGGCTACCATTATTTATATAGCCAGCCAGCTGCCATTTGGAATGAAACAAAACATAAAAAATTAAAACAAAAAAGGAAAAGAAAAACATATCCCACTTATAGAAACATGCAAGCCACCTAACATTTTTTCCATTTTCTAACCATCTCACATCGGTTAGAAAAGCTTTGTGCTCTTTATCAGGTCGTATACAAATTATAACTGGCTGTGAGCATGCTGGGAATACACTGGTGGGCTTGCCTCTTGGTTGGCCATACAGTTCAATAATGATTGGAAGTCCACTTCTTATGTGGCCCTTTGCTAATTCAGTCAATAAAATTTTAAAAAATAAAATAAAAATTGATATTAGTAGTTCATACTAGAACTGAGATTAATTGGTTTGGTGAATTGGATAGGTTCTTTGCTAAATCACTACTTTTCGATTCACATTGGGAACTGTCCAATTGCGATTTTGCACTCACCCCGTTATATTGGGGTGTATCTGTCTCTATGACTCAAAAATTCGGTTCACTGATTGGCTTCATCTCGGCCAGTATCGAGAACCATGAGTCTATCTATTGAACCAAGTGCCATGCCAACATATTCCCAAGACCCAAGTTTTGTCATACAAAAATCGCCGACATTACCTATCCTTTATCAAAAATAAAAGAAATCATACAGAAGTTTTTGTGGACTAATTGCATTTTACAATAATGTATTATATTAATTCATTTTCAAATATTTGGCAGTAGATATGATCATGAATTCAATATGGGCTGCATATTGTTAGCAAAGAGATCATTGATATAGGAATTTCTTTAAGTTGGACCCCTTCGCTGACAAAGAAAAGCTTTATGGATCTGCATTGGTAACATGAGTAGATGTCATAGATATCCATAGCTTCCAACATAAAAATAAATAAATAAATAAATAGAAGAAGAAGAAGAAGAAGAAGAAGAAGAAGAAAGAAAGGAAGAGGCAAAAAAAAAGAGTGAAATATGAAGAAGAAAAAGTTACTGTTAATTTGGAACACTCTTTAGTTGGCAATCAACTGGTCTAATGTTTCCCATAAATTTTGAAACAAATCTTATGCCCTCAAAATATATCGCCTGGATGAGTAACTTAATGACCACATGAAATTGCAATAACTACATCTTATTTGCAATGCAGATAGTACAGTTAACTGCATCTGGAAATTTTGAGGAAGCTTTGGCTCTGTGTAAGCTGCTCCCACCCGAGGATTCAAGCCTTCGAGCTGCAAAGGAGCAGTCAATTCATATAAGGTTAATGCATCTTTTGGACAATTTCACTTTCAAATTTTTTCTTTGAGATGGCACAAATAATGAAACAAAAATATATATATTATTACTTTTTGTTTGTTGAGTACTGGATGGTGCACCAGATTCTTCCTCCATTAAAATAAAAGGAGTATATATATTTAATTGAAAATTCTAGCCCATACTTCTCCTTAAAACTTAGGTATTAAGGAGAGAGAAACCAAAGCCTTATAACTGGCACAGATGGGGCAACCCTAAGCGATGTGGGAGGCATTCCAACACACCCTCCTGGACCACAACATACAGTAGCCGGACAAACGGCACACCAATTACTGGCCCGACCAAGCTCTGATACTAAATTGAAAATTTCAGCCACACTTCTCCTTAAAACCCAGGTATTAAGGAGAGGGAAATTGGAGTCTTATAACTAGCAAGATGGGGCAATTCCAAGCGATGTGGAACACATTCCAACACACCCCCTGGATCACAACATATAGTAGCCGAACAAATGACACACCAATAATAGGCCCAACCAAGCTCTAATACCTTAATACATGGGTTTTAAGACGAAATGTGGGTTGGAATTTTCAATTTGGTATCAAAGTTTAGTTGGGAATGTGACTGGTGTGCCTTTGTCCAGCTAGTGTCGGCTGTGGTCCAGGAGGGTGTGTTGGAATGTGTCCCACATCGCGTAGAGTTGCATCATCTGTGCTAGTTATAAGGTTTCAATTTCCCTCTCCTTAATACCTGGGTTTTAAGGACAAGAATGGGTTGAAATTTTCAATTTGGTATCACACTTCTCTTTAAAATTCAGGTATTAAGGAGAGGAAAACTGAAACCTTATAACTAGTACAGATGAGGCAACTCCAAGCGATGTGGGACACATTCCAACATATTTTGTGCCCATTGATATGTAATCTCATACTGACACAGTTTCAGCACAATAGTCATGTGAGCATAGAGATGTCTGCATAGATACAAATACACTCACTCATGTACATTACTCAAATTCAGCAATCCTTAATTTCGATTACATGGGTTTGATTGCATGGATTCATTTTCTCCAGTTGGTTGTAATTAAAGTCATATCCTTGGTTAAGTTGAAGGCTATTGTATCCTTTCTCATCATCTCAACCCAAGCCTTTCTTGCCCTTTTGCTTCTTCTTTTGATACCATTGACTTAAATCATAAGGAGCATGAACATGGATACGGACATGGTTACAGATACAAAACACAGACTTTGAAAAAAATTAGGATACGGACAAGACAGTGATACAACAAATAAAAAAAATATTATTTTATATATTATTATTTTCTATGTTTATGAACATAAATTTATGGCACAGAGATATAGGAGACATAATGTTTATGTGGATGTATGTCCTTTTTCCACTTCGCCCTCTTTGTTTCCATATATATTACTTTGACTTCAAACCAACTTTTTAAAATCATAAAATAACCCCACACAGTTATCTTGAGACATGTCCAAACACAAGACACATGTGTCCCCAATGAATCTTCCAAAAAAGAGAAAAAAAAAATTAAAATTGACATTCCATGTGGCATGTCTGACAAGTGGACACGTTTGTCCACAGTGTGTTGGTGTCCAATATGTGTCGGAGTTGGACATAGACACGGCACCCATTTTGAAGTGTCCATGCTTCCTAGCTTAAATCAAATCACTGCTTGCCACATCTTTATTTGGTCAACGTTGCACATGGAAAATAATCTCAAACAACTTTCTCCAAATCCGATGATGCAACTTTAACTTACCAGGAATGCATTATTAGCTTATTCTGTCTTTTTCTTGTAACAAGAATTGCCTATCTCACGTTGTCGTTTTAGTCACAATCATTTTTTGAACATTTGACTTCTTTACTGCACAATATTCATAACTAGCCTTCATACTCGTAGTTATTTATGACACATTGACAATGTGTGAGTTTTCCCCTTTTTTTAATTCTTTTGATGAATTACTGGGTTGTGAAGAATTCATCAGAAGCTAGATATTGCTTGAGTTATTGGTGCATTTATAATAATGAACATGTGCCAGATAAATTTTGTAACTTCCACAGATATGCACACTATCTATTTGAGAATGGGAGCTATGAGGAGGCTATGGAACAGTTTTTGGCATCTCAAGTAGAAATCACATATGTGCTTTCTTTATATCCATCTATTGTCCTTCCGAAATCAGTTGTGGTACCTGAACCGGAGAAGTATATGGACATCACCGGAGATACTCCGCACCTGTCAAGAGGTTCGTCGGGTATATCAGATGATATGGAATCCCCACCTGCTTCACAGCTGTTGGAATCCGATGAGAGTGCTGCACTTGAGTCCAAGAAAATGAGCCATAACACGCTAATGGCTCTCATCAAGTTTTTGCAGAAGAAGAGATACAGCATAATTGAAAAAGCCACCGCTGAGGGAACTGAGGAAGTTGTTTCAGATGCTGTTGGGGATAATTATGTATCGTATGATTCCAGTCGGTTTAAGAAATCAACCAAGGTAAATTATTCATATTTTCCTTCATGAGGAAAATTAGGTCATGTAAAATATGATTCAAAAGTATTTTACATTGATTTGCTGTAGCTTTGCTTGATTCCTTCTTTTACTTGTATTTTCAGGAGTATTTATATAGTTCAAAAGTATTTATATTTGATCATGATCATTTGAATTAAATGCACAGATGCTAAACTCCATGGTTGCTAAATTTCATCCTAACACACACACACACACACACGTGTACACACATAATATGCATGTAATGGCAAATAGTGCTGGAGATGGATGCACAAGTAATGATGACATCTATTTATCATCAATATTTCATACAATAAATTATTTGAATTATCATGATTGATTTTACCGATTTAGTGATTTATCAATTATTATGTTGTGCTTTGAATGTCTTTAATGCCTACCAATAATCCTTGATATTAAATATGGTTATTTGCACAACGTTATCAATATATTGTTCCATCGTCTGATCTATATTTTATTTTTATCTTCTAATTTTCTGCTTTGGTTTTTTAGGGCCGAGTTAACATTTCCATTAGCTCAGGTGCTAGAGAGATGGCAGCAATACTGGACACAGCACTACTCCAAGCTCTGCTTCTAACTGGACAGTCTTCAGCTGCTGTGGAACTACTGAAAGGTGTTAACTATTGTGATGTAAAAATATGCGAAGAGTTTCTGCAGAAAAGGAATCAATATGTTGGCTTGCTAGAACTCTACAAATGCAATGCAATGCACAGGGAAGCTCTCAAGCTTTTGCACCAATTAGTAGAGTCATCGAAATCAGACCAGCCACAAGCAGAGCTCATCCAAAAGTTTAAGCCCGAGATGATTATTGACTATCTCAAGGTAAATTTACTTGTATACTGCAATATTAGTTGTTTTGTCTCCAATTTGGATGCTTAATATGTTAAGAATATGGCAGCATTTGCGTCTACATTCTAGAGTCATAAACCATATTATAGCTTTATAGCATTTCATTGTATTCTTATGATTTAACCAATTATGGGCAGCATATTGAAATAAACCTGTTAGACACTGCCAATTCATCTCAACTAAACAAAGCCTTGTCCCAACTGTTCGTGTTCAGCTACATCTTGCTTTGCCATTCCGCTTAATCAAGGGCCATAGTTTCATATAAACTACACGATAACATGTTCTTCCTTAATATCTCAAGTTCTCAACCCACATTGGTTTTTTTCTCTTTCATCCCCAAGCATTACCCTCAACATTGATAATATTGCTACCAAAAGGAACTTAATTCCTTTGCTTATGTTTTTCACCCTTAATCTCAAACTGATGGCTTTTTGAACTTATTAAATGAAATTTCAGTTGTAACTATGAAGTTTTCCTTCTCTTTTTGGTGGGTTACCTAAATTTTAGAATTGGTTAACTTTGTTATCTTTTCTATGTGTATTTCTATGTATGGTTTCTGTGCCTTTGTTTTTGGAGTACGGTAAATCTCCATGTTTTGATCATCTGAATAGTTTTCATGTCATCACCTAACTAGATAGGGCACTGATTCCCTAGTGCCTGATCTGTACGTCAACTCTATTAATGTATTGAAATTATTTGTCTACAAAATTAAGAATCTGATTATTGATTTGAATTTATTAATTTTGATGAATTTTTTATGCAGCCTCTCTGTGGGACTGACCCTATGCTTGTGCTGGAGTTCTCAATGCTCGTTCTTGAATGCTGTCCAACACAAACAATTGAGCTCTTTTTGTCTGGAAATATTCCGGCAGATTTGGTGAATTCTTACTTGAAACAGCATGCTCCAAATATGCAGGCCACGTATTTAGAACTTATGCTTGCGATGAATGAAAATGGAATCTCTAGAAATTTGCAGAATGAAATGGTAAAAAATACTTCTTACTTGCAATTTTTATTACTTTTGATAGAGAAGCTGATGTTATCTGTAAGACTATTAATTGCGAAGATCTGGTGCTACTAATCGTTGCTGTCAACCCCAACTACTTGAATAAATATTTTTTATCATTGTTGTGATGCACAAGATTTTTCTTCTCAAATGGATGAACTTACTAGTCTTATGTGTGGTAGGTGCAAATCTATCTCTCCGAAGTGCTTGATTGGTATGCAGACCTAAATTCTCAACAGAAATGGGATGAGAAAGTTTATTCCCCAACCAGGAAGAAGTTATTGTCTGCTTTGGAAAGTATCTCAGGGTATAACCCGGAGACTCTGTTAAAGCGACTTCCAACAGATGCTTTGTATGAAGAGCGTGCAATTTTATTGGGAAAAATGACCCAACATGAGCTTGCCTTATCAATATATGTTCATAAGGTATTCCTATTAACCCATTCAGAGTTGAACATACATGAAGTGAGGTAAAGAAACTCGTGTAGAAGTTTGAGCGTCTTCCTATCCCAGAAAGCAATTTGCCAAAATCTTCTCACTCAATATGCAAGACTCTCGTTGTTTAGTGTAGCCTTGCTAACTTAAAATGATGTTGAAGTTGGATAGTTTTTTGTGTTTCTTGTATGAGTCACAGTTCTTTACCAGAGCAATCAACCTGCCTGCTGATTCTGAGGGTTGAGGCAGGGTTCTTTGTCCTATTCAAATATGAGTTAGGTCTGGTCTGGTATTGTAAATTATAGTAAATATAACATACATGCTACTTTATCCTTGTGATTCTTGGTTTTTGACAGATGATATAACTGAAATGCTTCTGATTACTTCAGGAAAGTACTAAATATAATCATTAATAATTAGTGACAATTTTAGATTATGATAATTTTCTAATGCAGATAAGTACTACGAAAAGAAAAAAAAAGGAAAATAAGACAGCCAAATGGGTTAGGTTTTGTGCTTGGCTTGAGGTTTCTAGAAGGGTTGGGTTTGGACTTGCTAACTTTTTTATAGATCGGCCTGTCAATTTCTTGTCACTTGCTTGCATTAAATTTCTGTTGTTGATGGTGATACACTTGAATTATTGTGTTTTCTTGAATTTTGTAGCTTCATGTACCTGAACTGGCACTGTCCTACTGTGATCGCGTTTACGAGCCTTCACTTCATCAACCCTCTGCAAAATCTTATAGCAACATCTACCTCACTCTTCTGCAAATATATTTGAATCCTCAAAAGACAACAAAAAACTTTGAAAAGCGAATCACTAATCTGGTTTCAACTCCAAGTTCTGGTCTTCCAAGGATTGGTGCAGTGGTTTTAGCCAAAACCAAAGCAAGTCGTTTATCTCGGAAAATTGCAGAAATAGAGGGTGCAGAAGATGTCCGAATCAGTCCCAGCAGTACTGACAGTGGGAGGAGTGATGGTGATGCAGATGATCTCAATGAGGAAGCAGGTTCTACGATTATGTTGGATGAGGTACTTGATCTGTTGAGCCGACGATGGGACAGAATCAATGGAGCTCAGGCACTCAAACTATTACCAAGGGATACTAAGTTACAGGTAATGGGTTTCTGGACATATGTAATCACTTAGAAGGCAGTAATTAAGGCAATGTTTTTCATTTCAGTAACTATACCATTAAGATCAATGATGGAGGAAGCTTGCAAACTAACTTTTTGTGGGTTTTGTCAGAACTTGCTTCCATTCCTTGGACCCCTACTGAGAAAATCCAGTGAAGCATACCGGAACTTTTCTGTTATCAAGAGTTTGAGAGAGAGCGAGAACCTGCAGGTATGTCTGGTTGATTCATTTTAGTTAAATTGGGGCATGAGCTGGGAAATATGTGGGTAGTACTTGGTACTAAATTACTTTGTATGCTAATTATACCATTATAGGAAGATTTCTCTGCTGGCTTATTTTTGAGACACAGTTTGCAATGTTTCTACATTGCAATGCTAAATCTTGCTCTTACTGTTGTAGCCTTCAAAAATGTAAACTCTATTGGGTGGTTTTATATCTTAGCCACCCACTGTCATTTTCTTACGGTAGAACTTATTTTCTAATGGTTGCTTCAACAAACTTGCTCCGTGTGGATTCACTTGTCCTGTTGCACCAATTGTAGATAACTTCTGATATAGTTGAGGCTAAAAAAGGCCCAAATTAGCTGGTCGCTGTTGAGATACTAAACTCATTGCATCTTAGAAGGCTCAGCTCAGTGATGAACTTTCATTTTTTTCTTGGTATTATGCTTTTATTGTATTTTATAATTAACACATTCTTTTATTCCTGCGCTGTTAATCTGATCTGACTGGTTCTATGAGTTGCTTTCTTGACATCTCTGCTTGGCTTCTGAAAGCTCATTGCCTGCAACAGGTCAAAGACGAACTTTATAACCAAAGGAAAACAGTGGTGAAGATTACTAGCGATAGTATGTGCTCCCTTTGCAACAAGAAGATAGGGACTAGTGTTTTTGCAGTCTACCCCAATGGTACGACTCTTGTGCACTTCGTTTGCTTTAGAGATTCACAGAGCATGAAGGCTGTTGCTAAAGGCGCACCGCGGCGTAAGCGATGATGATAATTGCCATTCACCATATGGATGAACAAAATCTACTCTCTCCTATTTGGCATTACAACCCTTTCATGCATGACGTGGAGTTGCCAAAAGGGGTTTTAAGAGGAGGTGGTCTTAGTCTTCTGATGGGGCCAGTTAGCTGTCTCAATCATTCTTATACCCTATATTTGGATGAAAATGTTTAGGAACACAAACCGATCACAGAATAGGAAACCACTCTCTCACATGTGGTGAGTCCCACAACCATGAGAAAGGTTGTTTCCAATTTGGGATTAGTTTCTGTGGTAAGTAGAAGATCTGTATTTGGATTCAATTTCACACTTTTTGTTGGGAGTCTGCAAGTGAATTGATGGACTTGGGACGAGCAGGTGACTTTGAGTTACTCTGAAGAAGGTAGGAGTTTGTTTGGTAGATTGTTATTGAGTGTGAAGTTTTGATATGCTGGAAAGGTCCTTGGTTTGGATGGAAGTGATAGTTTGTTGTAAAGAATTTGATTGTATGTTGACTATAACAAAACAAAACCCAAAAAAAAAAAAAAAATTTGTTCAGTTTATATCTTTATTTAAGCATGATGTTTTCCACTAGTGTCTGGTGGTTTTAATTTGTAACTAACTAGAAAAGGATGTTATCTCAGTATTTATTGATGTCGGTAATGAAAGACCTCATTATCATCTCTATTTATGCTTTACCTGCTAGAGTTAGGATATTTTCCTGAGAAATTTACACAGAAAAAAGAATGTGTTTGGTTGTACTCTTCAAACATATTTTTAGCCTATGTTTTGAGTGTATTATTTGTTTAGAATTTTTAAAAATTAATTTTACACTCACAGGGAAAAAGTTTGGGCTAACTAGTCGTCCGGTTAGTCGGTAGATTGACCAAGCGATTGACCAAAATAGTGTATATATATATATATTTTTTTATAATTGACATCTGTTATTTTTTATATTTGAAATTAAAAAAAAAATTAAATTTAAAAATTTTTTTTTTTATAAATTTTGAATAGAATTTTAAGTTGTGTATTTGGTTTTGAGTTATAAGTTCTTATATCAAATATCACATCAAATTTTTTTTACTTAGGCCAAGTTTGAGAAGTCTCAAATAATTTATTTTTTTATCTTTTTATTTTTTTTCATCACATCACCTCTCTACTTTTCTGTACATCTTTTCGTAAAAAGACAAAAAATACACTTATTTAGGTCATCTCAAACAACTTCTTAATTTAAAACTCTTTTTAAAATTCTTTTCAAATTTGATCCCCCAACATAGTGGTTAAAAATCATTTGCTTTCGCATAAAAAAATTCAAAAACAATTTTAAAGATACAATTGATCATTTGTTTTTCAAAAAAGAAAAAAACTTTGTTAAAAAAAATAAAAACAGAAAACAAAAAAATACAACCGAGGTTTCTTTCTTATGGAAGGATTAACTGCTACACATGGCATTTGCATTCAAATTCTGATGCTTGGCTTGGCTGCAAAACGATAAACAACTACCCCAACCCTCAATCCATCAGAAGGACCATCTGCGTGTATCATACTTTTTTGTACATCTTTTCGTAAAAAGATAAAAAATACACTTATTTAGGTCATTCTAAACAACCCCTTAATTTAAAACTCTTTTTAAAATTCTTTTCAAATTTGATCCCCAAACATAGTGGTTAAAAATCATTTGCTTTCGCATAAAAAAATTCAAAAACAATTTTAAAGATCAATTGATCATTTGCTTTTCAAAAAAGAAAAAAACTTTGTTAAAAAAAATAAAAACAGAAAACAAAAAAATACAACCGAGGTTTCTTTCTTATGGAAGGATTAACTGCTACACATGGCATTTGCATTCAAATTCTGATGCTTGGCTTGGCTGCAAAACGATAAACAACTACCCCAACCCTCAATCCATCAGAAGGACCATCTGCGTGTATCACCTCCACATCGAACACTTTCTTCGCCCTCTTGAAGAACGCCGATTCCTTCTTCCACCTCCTCAAATGCGCCATCAAGAACATCACACTCTTCTCTCCTCCCACCAAGAAGAATCGCAGCGTCTCAAGCAGAGGATCGTACAGGTGATCATGATACACTACGTCCGATCCCAATATCAGATCGTAGTCTCGCCCAATCGCTTCCATGTGATCCAATTCCCCCCATCCGAGTGCCGCCACGTGGACGGATCCGCCATGCTGGGCCAGGACTTGGGAGTTGGCGTCGGCATTGAATTGGAGGTTCGGAAGAACGTGAGGGAGATCCGTTAGGGTTACGTAGGCTCCGAGAGTGGCGGCGGCGGATATTCCGACGAGGCCGGTGCCGGAACCGAGCTCGAGGATGCGGAGGCGGGCGGGCAAGGAGGAGAGAGTGGGCGTGAGGGGGCTGGTGAGAGGATGAGAGCGGTGGCGGTCGAGGAGAGTGAAGAGGGTGGTGGCGGCGGGCCAGAGCTGAAAAGAGAGGCCTTGGGAGCGGAGCTGGCGGATCGCAACCGTGGAGTGGAGTGAATGGAGGTAGTGATGCTGAAGAAGCTGTTGATGATCAAGTGCAGGTAATTTAATATCGTCTTCTACTACTACTTCTTGTGGTTGTTGAACATCAGGGAGGAGCATTGTCAAGGGATTGATGTCAATGTCCTCCTCCTCCTCATCCTCGCCTTCTTTATTGCCCATCGTCACTTCACTACCATTACCGCCTCCTTCAACGTTTCTGTGATTTTTAGGGCTTCTTTCCTGAGTTTTTTTTTGTTTTTCTAATACTCTTAAAAAAATAATAATTTAAAGAATTAACTCACTTTTTAAATTATTTAAGAAATTAATTTTTTTTAATTTTAAAATTACATTTTAAAAATATAATCTTAAATTAAAAATTATATTTTTAATATGTGATTTTAAAAAATAGATTAATTTCTCAAATAATTTAAAAAATAAATTAATTTTCTAAATTGTTTGGTTTTTAGAATATTTATAAAGAAAAAAAAAAAACTCCTTTCCTAATGCCGCATAACTAAATAAATAAAAATTATACTCCAAATTTTATTTTATTATTTTCTTTTCTTTAAAAAAAAATAGTAATAAGTTAGAGACTTTCAATATTTTTCATTTTTAATAAATTGGAACAAATCTCCATAAAAATTTTTTAAAAAATGGAACAAATGGTTTGCCACTAGGTGGAACAAACTTGGACAATCAACAACTTGGAAATGTCAACTCGAACTTGGACTTAGCGGTAAGAAAACAAACTACACGTCATTTGCTAGCCCATTAACCTTTGCAAAGAGAATTGAGCCCTTATGTTGGGCCTGGATGGACCATGAATGAGGCCCGTTGAAAAGAGAAGAAAAATGAAAAAGTGTGTTATTAGTAATAATCTTAGGAACCAAATAGAACTAAAAAATGTAGGTAGGACAAAACAAGAAGGAACAATTATCATTGTCAATTAGGGTGTGCAGTGAATATTTCAATTCGTCTAAATCGAATGAATTAAATTGATTTGTCGCATTTTGAATAGATGAGTGATGATGAGCGAACAGTTGCGGATTGATTTTTTTTCTAATTCGTCTAATTTTGGACGGATGGCGGGTTTGAGATTCCTTTAGCCGCAACTGAACCGCCAAATTGTCAAACCGTGAGCACTCATAGTAATTGTAAGATTTTGTGTTTTCAATTTGTTTAGATGTTCTGTTTGTATTTTCAATTGAAAAAGAGTTTAGATATTTTGTTGCATTTTTAATTTGTTTTTAATTTAGAAATCCTTTTATCAAATAAAAAGTGTTGATATTTGATATTCTTGAGAATAAAATATAAGGCTTAATTTTGTCATTTAAAAAAAAAATCAAATTAAATAATTTTTGAATAAAAAAAGTAACGAGATAGTTTTAATAATGCATGATTTTTTTATAGATATTTATTATTAATATTTGACAATTTACTGAATAATCTTTTGGTTATGTTAAGTTAGATTGTTATAAAAGTAAATAAATAAAAATTTAACAAGTCGTATTATGTTCAAAATTTGAAAAAATTTAAACCATTAAACTGATTCATATCCATCTGTCAATTCGGTAGACAAATGAGGATTATTTTTTTTAATCCACCAATTCGACAGACAGATGGCAAATTGAAAATTTCCAAACCACAACCGGACCGTAAACATCCTAATGTGTTACTCCTTTACCTTCACTGGTACAAAAATAATATTTTGAAAAAAAGAAATCCAACTATGAGGCCCATGGTTTAAGACTTTATACTGCTTGTTGGCATCCTCAAGATATATTTTCCCCCCAAAAAATAAAATAAAATAAATTCAAAGAAATCATTTTCCACACGTACTCATTTGCCAAGGAAAATCATCAGACACTACTGATCTCATGTCATTATGGAATTATTGTCTACAGGATGCTTTGATCTTCATGTCATTTACGGCATTGTCCAAAGAAACAAAAAGCGAGGCATTAAACGCAGAATAGTCCGTTCTACCAAAAGAAAAAAAAGCCACAGAATAATCCGATGGAACAAAATAACTACATGGTGTTGTGATGCACTGTTTTCGTTTCAGTGGTTTCTTTAGCGTCTTGAAGAACCTCGCGTGCAGCATTACGCCCCGGAGCACCCATCACACCACCCCCAGGGTGAGCCCCACTCCCGCACAAATAAAGTCCTCGCACTGGGGTCCTGTAATTTGACCTGTATTTGTAACATTAAAATAAACTATATATACTTTTTTTTATTATGAAAATAAATAAATAAATAGTTGCTCTACAAATATATCATAACTATCAGAGAAGACAAAGAAGAAAAACCCTGTACACTTCATTTTCTGTGTACTTACATTCGCACATTTTTTTGTTCCCAAGTTTCTGAGAATAACAAAGCTAACTCAGATTATCATTGACAATTTTTGTTAAAACCTACCATCACTTACTCCACTTACTACACCTACTACACACCTACCACTACCACCTACTACCACCTACTACTACCTACTCCACTACATCTCCTATATAAGGAGCCCCTCACCATTTGTAATTTACAACAATCAAACAATCAATAATACAATCATTTATCTTTATACATTAAATTTCTACAATTTTTATGGAGAGAACATGTAAATTTTATGAGAATTACCATCCTTTTACAGGTCGCATTAAAAAAAGAGAATCTAATCCCATGGCACCATGAAATATATTCCCTCCTGCCAAAAATCATTCAAGAATATGCAGTTTAGTGAAATGAATAACGAGAAAATCAGTTAATTACCAGAGTTGAGCAGCATCACAAGGCTAACAAGTCTGGGATTCTCACTGTGACTTCCTACTTGTATTCACTAAACTCTAACCCATAACACATGACCGGTTAACTCCTTTTATTGTAAAGAAAACTCGAGCAACTCCCAAACTAGGATTAGGATTTTTAGAACCAAAAATATAAGTTAAAAACGTTCCATATGCCATAGCTCCTGGAAGATCCAGTACTCACAAAAGAAAGTAGATATATACCTGTCAGACCGGGGGGGAAAAAAATAAGAAAAAAAAAACTATACCCAGGCTCCCTATTTCCCATTTTAATTTGTTTCTTGAGGACAGCAAACACATGCAGCTATGCACTAAACATACCTGTCAGACCAATTTCCCTTTCAAGGTCTGGTGGAGTCAACATGTCATAGCCAATAATTGATGAGCTGAAGCCTGGGGCATACTCATCAATCAAGGTAAAACATCTTTGTGCAAAGGACTCCTGCAGAAATGTTCATCTGTTAACTGTCTAATGATTTGTAATGAAACAGAAAAAGTGTGTTGCCCATAGAGATAAAGAAGGAAACAAACTGAGAAATCAATATCAATGCTTCACATACTACCAGAGTTAGAAGTAGAAAAGGAGACGCTATTTAAATCCTACTCACTCTATATGCAGGGTCTTCCCAGCTGCCATCAGAGGGTTTATAGGGTGTGTATTGAATGAATAAGTTGATCACGTGCTTACCTGTAAAGAAACAGCTAAATAACATTAATGTGATGCAGTGATCAACACTAATAGGTCAAGCTCAGCACAGTAACAGGCATAAAGGCTTTGTTTGGTATCGTTTTCAAAATTTTTGTTTTTAGTTCAACACCCCTCAGTGTCGTATCATTTTCATTTTTGCAAAAATAGTTTTAGAAGATTCAGAAAACAATTTTAAAGTGTTCTAATAAAAAGAGTTTTCAGAAAACTTTCCCAGAAACAGTTTTCCAAACAAGTTTTCATAGTAGTTTTCAATAACAAAATAATAATAATAATAATAATAATAATAACAAAAACAAAAATAATACAAAATGCACCCTTAATGAAGAAAAAAAAGAACAGTGCCTATAACTATAGGAACAAAAGAGAGAAAACATAAACAAACACTCAGCAAGCATAAAAGAGCTTAGACTGAAAGTTTATGATTCAACAAGTCCCATTTTGAAAATTATTAATCTCGGATCATTTCCAAATAAAAAAACATCTAAATTCCTGATTATGATCTGCTAAGGTACAAGAGTTGTGGCCTACCAAAGTCTAGGGAAGCTGAAGCAACTTCAACTGGCTAAGACCGATCCTATTTTCTGCAATAACTAAAAAAGAAGTGGCTAAATCAACCCCAAACAGCATTAACATCAACACTAGAACGGAAACCCAACCATGATTTCCCAACCAATTTTTTGTACCTTTATTCAGAGCATCAGAGGATGCAATATTGGGCTTCCATAACTCAAATTTGGTTCAACTTTCTCAACATAAAACTTGAGTTTTCCATCAATTTCATGGTTTATGGTTCCACTTTCTGGTAGAAATAATATGCAGCCAATATTAAAGCGTAGAAGATGCAACCTAACAAAATATACTGGCGTGCCATAAGAAATAAATAATCAGAAATACATCTGCAGAAAGAAATTTTAAATACCAGGTGGTGAGATAGTCTTGTCCAGAGCAGAAGGAATTGTCATCTCGATAATAGGTCTTCGTGAAGGTAAGCCATTTACAGCATCTTGACAGGCTGAGTCAATTTCCTCCATACTAAAGCAAGTGAAAAACAATTTATGAGAAGGTATAAATCTTTTTCATTTTGTAATTCAGGAATGAAGTTGGGCATTGACATGAAATCCAATAGAGGAAGTGCAGAATCTTTTCACATCCATGATAATTGAGACCATTCAACATTTGGATGTTGAACTACCGTCAACTCTTATTACTGAATAGTTCAAAAATCTGTTGATGAAAGTTTGAAACTGTGACTGATTACACAAGCTGGTGAGGTAGGACGGAATATTCAAAGTGCAAACGAAGAGCTTTGTAAATCAAACCACCATGACGGTCACCAAAACCATACCACCATCCTCATGATCACCTAAGCCTCATGTGAACAGTTTTGTGGTGGCCATCAAATTTGATCTGCCTTTCCAACCCCGAGTCTAATATTCACCATGATACAGTTAACAGAAACTTGATCTGTCAATCTACTCAGTCAGACCTCCCTTCATAAGGAATCCAGATTATATGATTGACTAATGAAACTAATTTTACATGCAGAGGTCATAGCAGGAGGTTAAAATTGTGACAAACATTGCATCTACAAGTAATGCCACCATCATTTTAACTCTTTTTGGCCAGTTACAAATTTACAAAATCTCATCAGTGAAGTTGTTTTTCCCCCATGCATTAAGTTAATACAACTGTTCCTGATATACAGGTTTGGGTTTCGAACCAATTCCAGAGATCAACAAGTTCATGTTTTAAAATGTTTTCATTCTGCTAGTTTCTCGACAATATGACCAGAACAACACATGGATCTGGAACAAAAAGAATATCACATAACTAAATAAAAGCATACCTCTCAGAACCAATGTGAATGGTACCCACATGCTGAGGGCCAGCATCAGGGTGACACAAGTTGCAGCACCAAAACTGGGGCAAGCTTTTAACAGCTAAGTTTATTTTAGTAGTCCCCTGTTCATTACAACTCAGATTAATCTTTTTTTTGGAAAAAGTGACGAAGAATATTATTAAGCATAATGAAGAAAAGAGGACAAGGAGTCCCTCAAACCAGAAATTCTAAAACAACATCAAAAAGCAAAAATAAACGACAAAGCCAAAAATTAGGAATGACAAACAACAGCCCAATCCCTAGAAATTAAGAAAAATGGAACTCCTCTAAAAGGTTTAGACACAAAAGCCCAAAGCAAAGCTAAGTATCCCGCCTTGTCCCAAATCGCTTCAACACTTGACTCCTTTCCTTCAAAGATCCTTTTATTCCTCTCCAGCCATAAGGACCAAAAAATAGCACAAACAATACAGGACCACGAAACTTTGGCTCTCCGGCTACCTCCAAACCCTGCAAACCTAACAAGAAGCCTAAGTGTACATTCTTTCGGAGCTACCCACTGATCACCACACAGATTGAAAAGCCGATGCCATAGTGAGAAAGCCATCAAGCAATGTAGAAATAAATGATCCGTCGACTCCAAACTACTCTTGCACATCATGCACCATTGAGGACAAAGAAAATGATTAGGCGTTCTCCTTTGGAATAGATCATTGGTCATGATTCCTCCTTGAGCTGGGACCACATGAAAACCTTCACCTTATGGGGAACAACCACTTTCCAGATTTTGTTGTGAAGTGGAAACAACTGAACAGAAGATTTACCGAAACAAAGATTTACATGAGAATACCCCGGAGGGACTGAGACTCCAAGTCCTATCACAAGATGAAGATAAAGAAAACCCTGCAATCAATGACAACAAAGAGGCCAACTCATGAGACTCTCCATCACTTAAGTTCCTAAGGAAGTTGAAATTCCAAGAGATCGGTGCCTCATTAGAACACACCACCGACACTATTGACACATTCCGAAACCGGACCAATCTGTAAAGAAATGGAAAAGCTCTATCAAAAAAGGTAACCCCCACCCATACATCTTCCCAAAAACTGAATATGAAGCCCATTACCCACTTTCATAGACAAGAAAGGAGACACTATAGGATATAAATGAGAGATGGACTTCCAAGGAGACCGACAATTGCCTCTCCTAACCACATTTGAATCTCTACCATTGTCCTAAACACCATACTTGTTTTTAATGATGGAGCACCATAATGACTCGCTTTCACTAGGGAACCTCCACAACCATTTGCTCAAGAGTCCAATATTCCTCGCAACCTATGAAGCACGGGTACTCCAAAAATAGTGCCGTACATGCACCGGGTACTTATCGGGTACGGGTACCGGTATTGGTACGGCTGCACGCGTACCGGGTACGGCAAAAACCACTCCGGTACGTCTGCCTCAGTTGGGTACGGCATGGGTACGGCTCGGGTACGTATTCGGTACGTTTTGGGTACGTCGGGGCAGAAATCAAATTTTCTGGAGATTGAGGGGTACCGGAGCAATATTAAAAAAAAATTAAAAAATGAATATACGAATTTCATCCCTTTTGCCCTAATTTCATCCCTTTTGCCCTAATTTCATCACTTTTGCCCTAATCTTATCAGTTGAGCAACACAGAGGCGACTTCGACCCAGCTTCGTCTTCGACTTCGACTTCGACTTCGACCCAGAGATCACCCTCGTCTTTGACTTCGACTTCGACCCACGGCATCGGGTACGACTTCTTCTCCTTCTTCTTCGCTGTTTCATCACCCTCGTCTTCTCTCATCTTCTTCGTTTCTTCTTCATCTCATTTTTTTTTTTGGCAGAGATCAGCAAGCATCTATCATCTATTTTCGTCCCCTGTAGATCAGCCATATCAAGCAACTGGTCAGAATCTCTCCATCTTTATTTTTTTTCGTTTTTTTTCTTGTTTCTTGTTTCTTCTTCAGAGAGTTATAATCTGATGTTGTCATGTTGATGTGATTTAGGTTCATAAATATTAGAAATATTTAGGTTCATAAAAATTAGATCAGAATGTTAATCAAGCAGTTTAGGTTCATAAATATTAGATCAGAATTAGATCAGAATGTTAATAAAAATTAGATCAAAAAATTAGAAATATTTAGATTCATAAAAATTAGAAAAATTAGATCAGCAGTTTAGGTTCATAAATTAGATCAAAAAATTAAAAAATTAAAAATTAGATCAGAATGTTAATAATCATAGATATTATTTTTATGATATTGGTGTTGGTTGTTTTTCCTTTGCTTAGATTATGGACTGAATTGGTGTTGGTTATATTGAATTGAAATATATTAATATTTGTCTTTTAGTTTTATAGTTCTCTTTTTAGTTTTGATATTTAATTTCAATTTGTAGATTGGATCTTTTAACCATAATTATAAAAAATAAAAAATAAAAAAAAAATATCGGCATACCGCAGCCGTACCCGTACCCTACTTTTTTGGGATTTTGCCGTATCGGCATACCCGTACTCGTACCCGTACCTGTGCTTCTTAGCTCGCAACAATATTCCCGATAGCAAGACCCCCTTTCTCCCTAGGGAGAGAAACCACCTCCCACTTAACTAAGTGATCCTTCTTATCTTCATTACACCCTTCCCAAAGAAAGTCTCGCACCAACTTCCCGACTTTCTTTGCAATCCTTACCAGAATCGTAAACAAAGACGAGTAGATAGGGATGCAACTCAGCAGTGATTGCACCAAAATGTATATCCCCCCTTAGACAACAACGCTCTCTTCCAGCCATCTATTCTTTTCCCAATCTCGACAAGTACAGATTCCAAAAAGAATCCGCTCGAGGATCCCCTCCTAAAGGCAAACCCAGATATTTAAGAGGGAACTCCTCAATGGGGCAACCTAAAAAATGAAATATTGCTCAGTTGATTTTGTTGATCAATTATATATCAATCATTCACCTTGACCAGCAGAAGTTTGGAGTTTTTAACTTCCTCCAAATTCTTTAATTAAAATTCTTACACAATATATAGATAATACATACACAAAGATGAAAAGTTATTTATTATTATTATTTCAAATATTGAAGATCTCTAATATTCGCAAACTAGTCAGATTGCTTTGAGAAATTTCAATTGAGAATCTTAAAGTTTTGGTAACTATATATACGTTTCACTTTTATTTCTCAGAAAGTTCAAAATGCTCTGTAATTTCAGTGGAAGTACGAACCCATTGGATGGAATGCTGTTGCTCCTGGATGTCATTGCAGTACTCAAGAAGCTTAAAAAATCTTATTCTCAACACTATTTTTTTTCAAAATTTTGTTTGTTGATAAGAAAATAACGGCATGAACAGCACAGATTATCTAATAATTGAAGAAAGTAACAAGTAATATACAAAGAAACTTATGGAGCTATAATCCAAATGCTTAATGGCACAGATAAAATCATCTGGAAGAACATTTTCAGGTAACAATTCCTGTGTTAGAAAAGCATAAGAAATCCAATTAAAACAGAAAGTTGACAATGTCATAGCAAAACCTGAATACGCTTCTACAAGTCAAATAATAGTGGTAGGGAATATTACCATAAAAGTTTTGTAAGGGGTTGCATTTGACAAAACAACTGAAGAATGCACCTTTGTCCCATCAGCCAATATAACCTAAATGATTCCACCCAGGTTCCTAATATCTAAATTACTTTTTCGAAGCTCGAAAATCCATTTCATTGAAGAAATCCAGATAATGAAACTAACCCCATTTACAGCTCCAGAGTCCTCAATCATCAATCTTGAAACCTAAATAACAAAAAACATCCTCATAGGTAGCAAGATAATAGATTAGACATGACCAAACTAGCAAAAAGGTAAATAATTTACTATTTCTTGAAAAAAGAAGAGGAAAAGGTATGATAAGAACTAAGGATGTATGTTTCCTAGCTTATTAATTTCATTGCGAACTACGAAAATGGTTAATCAGATCAACCATATTTCTCTCAAATTTGGCATTTAAACTATTTTTCTGTTTCAATTATAAAATGAAGAGCATTTGAAACAAATACTTCACTCGAGAAATTTCAAAAAACAATACAAATACAAAAAACAAGTACCAATCTAAATACTAAAGTTTTGTGGAGTTGATGTGGATCAGAAGCTTAGTGACCATGGATACTACAGAAAACTGTTGCCAAAAGGCATACTAGTAACTATATAACCAAACATGAACAATAGTGAGGGAGGGGTCAAAAACAACTTTATATTAAACTATTTAAATTCTGCTACAAATATGAAAAGAAAGGAACCAAAAGGTTGGAAACAAAAACAGAAGCCACAAAATGGTCCTCGAATGATCCCTATGTTGGCCATCATCATGGTAGCTCTTGCTTATAACTTCAGTATACCAGCTAGCTTATACCAATATTGGTGGCTATTCTAGCTGAAGCCTGAATGACATCATACCATGCCCCTTTCACAAAAAATAGGTTTTTTTTAAGTGCAATGTGATGTAGGACGAATAGGGACAGCACCATAAGGGCTGTTCTGGGGCTGTGAAGGTGCTGAAATTTGAGGGGGGGGAAAGAAAAGAGAAGAAGATAGATCTAGGAATCACTCTTAGAATTCCTTAGGCATCACACCAAGGGTTTGATTGCGTCACACAACCCATAAAGAAACTTCAAAACTCTCAACTTTTTATAAAATATTAACTCTATTGAATTATAAGCATTACATGGATTTATATAGAATTAGGTGACTTCCTAAACCAACTATAACAAAAAAAAAAAAAAAAACCTACTACTAAAATATCTTTAATTTCTAAAACTAATTTAAAACCAAATATTAAAAAAAAAAACAAAGACTAATTAAATAACCCATGTCGGTAAATATAAATACCCCTCGCCTAAAAATCCTAGAAAACATAAAAATAATCATAAAATAGAACTATAATAATATTAGAAACATGATTATGTATGGTTCCTATCGATTTCTCTTTGAAACCATTCCAATTTCCAAATATCACCGCTTTTTTGAATTTACTCTTCCTCAAGCTTCTTATATTCTCTGCATTATTCTCCCTTGGTTGGAAAAAACTCGACCTTGAGTTTTGAAGTGTTGAAGTATAAACATCCACAAGCTTTGAAATTGCATCCGCGGCTTCATGTTAAAATCTTTAAGTTGTTGCCGCCTTTTCTTTGTTGGAGATAGGAACAAAATTTTTGAGAAATTGATCTTGTCCTTCATGATACTAAATATGTCAGGAACGACAACATCAATAGAAGGAATTGAAACATTCTTTAATTGATCCAAATCTTGGGCTGCAAAATTCATTCCATGCATTATGTTCTTGTTTGGCTCTGTTGGAGAGATTTTAGGCAGCAAATTGGTGACTTGTAAGGCCTTATTAGGGTCGGTAGCAACAACTTGTTGCTATAATTCTTCAATCCCTACATCTTGTGTGGCCTCCGAATCTTCTATTTGGACAATATCCAGAACAGCAGGCTCCAGAGACATCTCTCTTGGCTCTAAATTAGACTCAGCTAATAACTTATTAACATCTAAAGACAAATCTGGTTCTAGACCAGCAACTTGTTCTTGAGACTCTTGAACAACAATTTTTATAGGGAATTGTTGGATTTCTTTTGAATGATCAATAAATGCTTTTTCATTCTTTGAAATTTGGTCATCTTTCCCATGGAAAAAGTTTGCTTGTCATCCACAATCTATCTTGGAACACACAGAATTTGGGTTGATGAATTTATTCAAAGTTGGTGCCCTTGGGTGTTTTGGATTCATCAATCAAATTATTTTTTCCCTTTATAATCTGACTGTTTACAACCTTCTGTTAGACTGCTCGTCTTTCTAAAGAATTAAGCTGAACTTTTAAACTATCTAACTACTCCACAATTTTAAAAAGAATTTGATCTCTTTGGTTTTCAGAAAATATTCCCCTTCCGAGAGATCTTCTAAGATGCGTAGACATGTTCCGGAAATTCCACAAAACAATAGGATCTTTCGCTCTGATACCAAACTGATGCAGGACGAATAGGGACAGCGCTGTAAGGGCTGTTCTGGGGCTGTGAAGGTGCTGGGGGGGAAGAAAAGAGAAGATAAATTTAGGAATCAATCCTAGAATTCCTTAGGTATCACACCAAGGGTTTGATTGCATCACACAACCCGTAAAGAAGCTTCAAAGCTCTCAACTTTTTATAAAATATCAACTTCATTGAATTATAGGCATTACATGGCTTTATATAGAATTAGGAGACTTTTTAAACCAACTATAACCAAAAAAAGAAACTACTAAAATATCTTTAATTTCTAAAACTAATTTAAGACTAAATAAGAAAGAAAAACAAAGACTAATTAAATAACTTGACCCACAAGACGACCCATGGGCAACCCATACAACCCATGCCACTAAATATAAAATTACCAAAATACCCCTCGCCTAAAAATCCTAGAAAACATAAAAATAATCATAAAATAGAACTATAATAATATTAAAAACATGATTATGTATGATTCCTATTGATTTCTCTTTGAAACCATTCCAATTTCCAAATATCGCCACTTCTTTGAATTTACGCTTCCTCGAGCTTCTTATATTCTGCATCACAATGTCTTCTACCAAATGGTTGTATCAGATCATGTTTATCCAATATCCAGCCAGAGGGAAAAATGAAAGATCTTTGTCAAATCTCCTTTCCCAATTACAAGATCCTACAATGAATCTTTATTTTTTATTTTGTAGTCTTTATAGTGATATAATTAGACAGCCGAAATTCCATTATTTCTAGCTACCTCCTTATACCATGAACTCATTGTACTGAGCCACAACACTCTGGCATACCCAACTTGGTCGTTGAATAAATTTAGAGAAATTCTCTCAGCCAAGATGGGAGACAAGCCTACTAAAAGGTCAAATTCCCCCTTGCAAATTGCTCGATCTCGTGGCAGTGATTAGTTAGATAGTTAACTCCTCAATCTCCAGTTCCTCCACTCTATAAGAAAGTAATTTGACCAAATCACTGCACATAAACCTAACTACCCATGGTTTCAACCTTGAAAAACATTCAACACAGCATAATTTTTTATGCATTTCAACCCATTTAAGGATCTCAACCAATATAAAAACTCCTTGACATAAAGATTCCCGTATTTCAAAAGGTTTTCATTAATTTCAAAACAAAAAGCAACCATATGAGACATCGGAAAGTGAAGCAAATACTTCAAGAAGAACATTTTTCCACCAGGAAGGGAATCAAATTATGAAGCCTAAGAAAGAGTAATTCCAATTGAGCATACCTCTGCATCGGTCACAATATGAGCCCCAGCTTCCCTAGCAGCTTTACTGATAGCCAATGACACTGAGCCCATCCCGCCTTCAACATGCCTACAAATTATTTCAGTCTCTCAAGATTACATGTCATCCATGACAGAGCATAAAATGTGATTATCTATCTATGAATGCTTTCTCAATCATAGGTTAACAGTAAAAATATCAACCATTCAAGAAAGTACAATCTGTAAGTTTTTTTTTTTTGTGGTCAAAGTGAAGTTGTTAAATTAATTCAACTCAGTAGAACTATGGTTTCAAAGAAATCATAATAATCCCCCCTCCCAAAAAAAAAAAAAAAAAAAGTCTCAATATTAAAAGTACAAAATAAATCACATTATCAAGAATGAATATATTAGTACAAAGAAAATAAAATATGTAGCTCAAGGCACCACAAATAAAAAAATTCAACATAATACTTCAAAAAGAATATATGCATATTTATGTATTTATACATGCATGCAGAGAGAGAGAGCAATGCGTGAGTCAATAGTGAATGTTACGGACATTGACAATTCTATTTAACATATATAATGCATATACGATCATGTGCCAATGGAAACCAATCAAAATACCAGGGGACAGAGTTCCAAATAAAGTCCATGAAAGACATTTTGTAGCCTCTTGATTCTGTATAATTACAATAATATAAACATCCTCTAATAAAGTCAGTAACTAAGATACGTACGACCAAATACCACGATCACCATCTGTTTCTCCCATCACATGATGCAGTAGAACATATCCACTCCCAGGGGTAGTGACACTTCCCTACAATACAAAATGAGGAGAATTACTAATGTTCATAATTTTGCGGAACATGTCTATCATTAGCTGAAGTCTCGTAAGCCCACTCAATAATATATAAAATTAAATCTTAAGCTACAAACAATTCTTTGTATGTATGTTGACTGCAGCGCTTATTAAAAAGGCAACACGGGAATGCTATTAAAGTGTCTTGACAACTTGAAGTAAAGACTTAAATTTAATGGAATAGCTTCTCAAAAATCTTTAAAAGCAAATATGTTATACAGCGGGTTTAAGGCACTAGGTCACTCGTAAAGATATTATTGATTCATGAGTAATAATTTTCAATACACTCCATCCAAACAGTATTTGGGTACAGCAAATCCATCTATACCATTAAATCCTTGAATTGCTTCCTGTTTTTAATCACTCAATTTGCAAAACAGAGTATCAGAAGTTCTATATAACATAAGCAAACACAGACAAAATCATAGTACTGAATCTTTTGCTTTTTCTTTTTCTTATTTGTTTCAAATCAATGCAACCTTTCAACTGTGTATGCAGTGTTTGTAGGTGAGTGTTTAAGTGCATGTATGCACGCATGAGAGAGAGGGAGAGAGGAGGCAGACATCTTCTCACAAAAGAGCAATGAAACACAAACAGAAGTCATAAAATTAAATAATTCTATCATTTCCAATGTGATAGGTTTAGGCCTCAAACTAGATATTGAGCAAGAATCGATGAAGGACATGGGCCACACTCCAAAAGTGGAAGTTCTTCAGGGACAAGAGTTGAGGCATGGTTCATCAACTAAGACATAGTAGATGCGAAGGTTTGGAGGCCGATAACTAGCCCAAATGGTCAGACTCTTTTGTCATTTCCAAAGATTGACACACTTTGTGACCTTTGTACAAAATACAACATCATCAAATGAATGAATTTATGAATTTTGATTACATTTTATCCAAATTCCAACAGCTGCACAAAAAAAAAAAAAAGAAGTCTTAACCTACAATCTGTAGATTTCACTGTCACGGAAGAAAATCCAAGCGCTTATAGGATAACAGACATTTTGCTATTGGACATAATTGCATTTTGATTGAGTTATTGATATAAGTAAAAACAAATAAAGCAGGGAAGGCTTGTGAGTGTGTTTGAACAAATAAAAAATTCAGACAACACAACCAAAAATTCTGCTTCAATAAATTGCCACTTTTCCTAGTCAATGAGTCACCACTTCATATTCGTGCCACAACAACTCTGATAAGATATGATGCTGGTGACCAACTCAACCACTCACATTCACAAATGATAAAGCAGCACCACGCATGTAACTACCAGCATGATTGCATGTACACACACCTGAAACCAGTGTGTTTGCCAGATTATAGGTGAGATTCTTACCGTAGTTCCTATCACTGCATCTGTTGCAAGGGTTGCCTTTAGAACATTGCTCTGCAGATATCCAAGATAGAGACAAAAAATCAGTGCTGATAAAAAAAATCAGTGCTGATAAAACCAAACTCCAGTATTTGAGTTGAGTCCACAGAAGACTGTAAACACAAAGCAGAAAAAATTGAGAGAAAAAAAGGAGGTGGTCCAAAACTCCTTTAAACATTTAAACCAACTTTGCAAAGACACATTCAAACAACATTGCAGATGGAATTTCAAATTACTTGGCTATAAGAAAAATTAGTAACTGAAGTAGGGTCATACAGATAGCTTTTTGGAATTTTAACTGCCTAAATATGTAGGACAACTTTCTTTATTAATTAACACCATTCTGAACACTTTCAGCACCTCATGGTGCCAACACTTGTTAAGACACCAACAGAACACTAAAAAACAATGACAATTAGAAAATATGCCTACCAAACCTTTTTGTCATGAGACCTATTACCCATACATCTACAAGTACATGGGTGATGAAGACACACCATATCAGTATACAACATAGTTGTCAAATCGGGATTCGTATCATGAATCGAAATGACCTCGTATCGAATCCCGAATTGAATCGAATCGTGAATCGTAAAAATTCGGTCACTTTTTCTAAATTACTTAAAAACATATATCTACACATTTAGATGTTAAATATATCTTATGAATATAAAATATTTAGACTTAAATATATAAAAATGTTATTTTGAATGATAATCACGTCGTTTAATAAGCAACAAGGTAGCAAAAGTTTCTATGTAAGATCACCATATTACCTTTTTTTTTCTTTTTTCTTTTTTAGATATTTCTTATCAACCATTCTTAATAAAGATAATAATCAAATACACAAATTATCAATTTCTAAAATAACAATAATTGACAACGATATTGATATTTGGACGATAAGCATACATACTTTTCTAAGTAACAGTGAGTAAATAATAAAAAAGAATTATTTAGAATCTTTTATTTTAAAGTCTAAAACATTTTAAAAGGTATAACTGATCTCACAAATGTAATATTCAATTTAATAAAATAACAATAGATAATTCATAGTGTAACTTTAATCTTAAACATCTTTAGAAGATATATTATGATTTTTTAAAGGGAAAAAAATGAGAAGAAAGGTTAAAAATATAGTGGGTCTGATTGAATCTGATTGGATTCTATTAAAAACTCCATGATCACTAAAATAATAACAAATCATGTATATATGTTGGTTATTTTGGTATTAAACGCTACTAGAAGTTGCATTATGTCATTTTCGCTAAAAAGATAGAGAAAAAAATAGTCAAAAATATGTCGGATACAATAATTTTAAAAATTGCATGAATCGTAAAAGTAAATCGAATCGTGAATTGATTGTGAATCGTGTGATTCACTGGAGATTCACTTCCAAAATAGATTCACCCATAGATTCGTATCGATTTTGCAAAAATTGCAAATCGAATCGTGAATTTAATCGCGAATCATAAGATTCTGATAACAGAGGTATACAAGCATATACATGTAGGTATAAACTATACAATGTTGCTATACATTTATTATTGCATATATAGGTGTGCACTACACAATATTTTTATGCCATCACAGCAGTAAGAAGAAAGTCCACAATTTTCCATAGGAGAAGTAATGTATAGGTATACATATGTATCTAAATTTACTTCTAAGTATGTATCATGGATGACACATTGATAATCAAGAATGCAAGTTATACTGTTTGTTTAGCGGGCAAATATACTTTAATTTAACTAACATTGACAGCCCTCTAATGATCTTAGTTTTTCCACATGAACACAAATACACTAACACATAAAAAATACACTCCATAGGAAGCATTCAGAAGCATGCATTTCCTGGGTAACAGTTCCCAAATTTTGGTAGAAGTGTGACCCACATGTCCTATCCATGTTTGAGCACAATACATAGGTCCAAAAAAAAGGGCCTAAATCAGGAGGGATGAAAGAACTCCATAGAAAGTGCTTTGGTACATAAATTCCAAAAAAAAAAATTAGAGAGAAAAAAAAAAAAAAAAGCAACCATTATATGTTACAAATTCACAATGCATGAATGCACTCAAAAATGATTTTTCATTATTATGGCAAATGAGTTGGAACAACCAGATGCTAAAAGGCGGCTGTAGTTCCAAATTTCAGCAGGCCATTTCATATCTCCATTTCATCTAGGTCTTCTCAGTAATTAGATGGTTAAAAAGGCTTAATAATGAGTAAGCAAACAAAGACTGCACCAATTGAGAGAGCAAGACTAATATTGATGTGGTTGTGGTAGTGACACTTTGCTTGGTTAAAGTTTTTCAAAAACATTTTTCGGAAAATTCTACATTTTTGTTTTCTGTGTTTTTGGTTTTTACTGAATTTTTTTAATATTTTAAGCAAATTTTTTTTATTTTTTAGATATACCTAACATAAATATACCTAAAAAGTAAAAAAATTGTGAAAACAACCTTTTAAAAATTCACTAAATACCAAAAATACAAAAAAATAAATACGAGAATTCAATACATTTTTTGTATTTTTATGTATTTATTAACTTTTTAAAATATATTTTTCACAATTTTTTTACTTTTTAGATACATCTAAGTAAAGTGCATCTAAAAAGTAAAAAAAAATGTTTAAAATTTTAAAAATATTCACTAAAAACAAAAAAAACACGAAAACCAAAAAACTCAATTTTCAAAAACTTAATCCAAAAACTCAAACCAAACACACTAATGAGATTGCCTAATGAATTCAAAAAACACAAGGTCCAACAACAAGTAAATTGATAATATAGGCTTAGACACTGAATCTGGATGGTTTAAAACACTTTGTTAAATTGAAATATATGAGAAGATGAAAAGTCTAAGATCCACAAATATACAAATCAAAAGAAAAGGAAAAGTAAGAACAAGCCATTATGTCAAATTTTACCCTTCCAAGGAACAATAAATGCTCAACTTAATTTCAAATCTAAAATTCAACTATTTTTAAAGAAGTTTTGGAACAAGATGGGATAAAATTTTAAGGAAAAAGCAAACTTGCACTGATGGATAGTCAAATAAACTTCACCTCTTTGTCACATATTACAATGGAAAAATTTTGAAAATAAAAATACAAGCATGCATACAAAAAACAGTAGTCCAGAAAGTCAAAGCACGTGTAAAAAGGTATTCAAATAATGCAACAACCTCAAACCAGTTATTCAAGACCTTCGACACCGGAGATAGTAAGAGGTCAATGAAATCCCTGAAAAAAATAATCAGCACAAGTTAGAAAAACAGCGAGAGATCACAAACACATCAACACTAAATAAACCTGCCCATCATAGACGTCTATACTAGATATGGCTTATGGACTTGACTAATGTAGTTATCTATTTACTGTTATACTGTTTTCGGTTTGTGATCACAGGCCAACATGGTGACACTAAATGAAGCAAACCTTGGATTAGAAAAGGAATTCTTACACTAGTTCTTTTTGCCCCAAGGAGACAGCTTGCCGCAGAAACCGAGCCCAAAAAGCCGATTTATGTAGCTTATTCTTCATCTGGGTACTAAAAGATGAAACACCTTGCAACGTTTCAGGAGTAGGCGAATCCAGGAGTGGATCCATGAACTCACAAAACTTCTCCAGCTGATTCTCATATCTGCATACTTGAACACAATACATAAAGACAAATAAATAAAATAAAGTACACTCAGTTTAGTTCCTATTGGATAGGGGACAATATATAAAGACAAATAAATTTAAAAAATAAAAATCCTTCAAAAGAAAATCCATGTTAACAGCATATGCAAAACCACTTTAGATGCATATCAGTTGAAATAATTTCAAATTGTTGTTTTCTCACCCCAAAGATTCTTAGGTTGTGTTTGGTTGGAAGATTTGATAAGAGAAATGGAAAGGAAAAAAGAAATGCAATCCCACTTTTTGTCTTTTGGGTTCACTTACACTGTGTTTGATTGAGGAATTTGGGAAAGAATTTGGAAAAGGAAGGGAAAAGGTAAGTGAAATATGTATAAAATAACTTACATCTCACCTAATTTCACACGCCTTTTCCTTTTCCTTTTCCTTTTCCATTTCCAAATCCCTTCCCAAATCCTCCAACCAAACACAACATTAGGCTATTTTCCTTCTCCATTTCCCAACTCAACCAAACATAGTTTGGAATTCGAATCCTACCAATTTTTTCTCATTTTCTTTCTATTTCCCTTTCCCTTTCCCTTTTCAGTTCCCTCATCAAATCCTCCAACCAAACACAACCTTAATGAACTGATCATGCAAAACACTGATCAATTACTTGAGCCAGCATATAGACAAGTTGACAATATCAAGACAATTCCTATACAAGTTCTAGTATATCCTACATCTGAAACCAATCATATTTGGTATCCACAAATGAGTTGAATACCCTATTTGCATAAACTTAATGAGTAGCCAAATCCTACCGAACAATGGCTGTGGGAGTCACTATTTTTGAGGTAATTATTCGGTAATCCCGAAGTATCATGGGCATTGTTCATTGTTTGCATGGTGCTGCTAACCAATAATGTAGCAGGAAACATTACGGGTTGTTAGGTAGTAGGTAGGGAGATAAGAATGACTCAGCTAGTGTGTTTTATGATTTCTCATTTGTTGGATCACCATATAGACAATGTCTCATTGTACTTCGGGGCTACATCATAAATTTCCCAATTTGTGTTCTTACATTTGGTGGGACTTTCTCTATACTGACAATTAGCTGGTCTAAATCCTTCTTGTTGGTGAACCAATATATATATAACCAAACATGCTGTAAAAATTCAATCATTTAATTTTATTATTCTTTGAGCAAACAATAAGAATGCACAATGTTCTGTGTATTTGTGTACATACGAGCAAGATAAACATAAATTCTACAGGGTAAATAGCAATAGAACCTTGGATAAGCCTCGGCGTCCCGTTTAGAGAACTTTGAAATCTCTGAATAATTAAGGTCCTTATCAGGGCCCAAGAGAAGGTACCGCCCGTCAAGACAAGGCGTAAACGACGAAGGACTCCTCTTAAGTAACTTCAATCCATGTCTCCCCAACTCCAATTCCCTTTCAATTCAACACCATTAAATATCAAGTAAACTTAACGCAACCAAGAACAAAAGCGAATTGTGATTGCAAAGAAAAACCTGATGATGGAGGGGCGGAGGAGGCTTTGGAGGTAGCTACATCGGGAGAACTTGAAACCAGGGATGAGTTCTTCGGTGACGGCAGCGCCGCCGATGAGGTGGCGGCGCTCGAGGACTGCGACGGAGAGGCCGGAGCGGGCGAGATAGGCGGCGGCGGTGAGGCCGTTGTGGCCGCCGCCGATCACTAGGGCATCCCAAGTCTTCTCCTTCAGAACGATCGTGGAGATGGCGCTGCTGTTGAAGTTCCTTCGCCGCCACATCTCTGCCCTCACTTCGTGCTTGCTGATAGTGAGTGAGAGTGAGTGCGAAGAAGACCCGCCAAGGATCTCTTTTTTTATTCCATTTTTTTCAAATGGACAAAATAACTTCTCCTTTTTATTATTTTTATTGCTGTATTATATATTTTTGAGTAGTGCTATTTCAATTTAAAAAGTAAATTTATTTTTTAATTTTAATAATATGATAATTTATTAAAATATGCAATGCAATTTTTTTTAATTATCAATTAATTATATATTTTTAATTCAATAATGTAATAGTCTTTTGGGTATAAATTCATTTTTGAATTTTGGTTGAAGGATTTGATAATGGATTTTGAAAAAGAAATGAAAAAAGTAGGTGAAATCTGAATAAAATATACCTATATTTTATTTATTTCACACACTTTTTCTCTCTTGCTTTTTAAATCTCTTCTCAAATCTCTCAAACCAAACACAACGTAAAAGTCCAAACACTAATGCTATATTTGGTTGAGGGATTTAATAATAGATTTAAAAAGGAAAGTAGAAGAGGTAATTAAAATGTACTTTACAAAGTCTGATGTGTAAAAAATTTCATTGATTTAATTTTTTTTTTTTTAAAAGATATCCTATTGTGTTATTTTCCCTATTATTTAAGCAATAAAAAGATATCCTATTGTGTTATTTTCCCTATTATTTAAGCAATAAATAAATAAATATGTAAAATAGTAAATAGCATGCAATCATGAGAGATAAAGATTAGTTGAAAAAATCTCGATTGAAAAAAAAAAAAAAAGTACCAACCTGAACATAATTATTAATAAATCAAAAATCAAGCACAATTTATAAATGTTTTTTATAAATAATAATTTTCAATAAAGTAAGGTAAGTCAAACAAGCAATTACAAAAGAATCTATTCTAACAAAATAAAAAATTTACACCAAATAAAGTAAAAATCATTAAATGAAACATTAAAGAGAATATATATATATATATATGAGAGCGGTAATTTATATGTAAATTGAGCCGAGCTGGAGTAGGGATGGCAATTTGAAACCGGCCGATAGGGGACCCCGACCCCCGACCCCGAATTGAGTGGGTTTTCCCCGAAAAATACCTCCGACGGGACGGGGATGGTATTTAAAAATCAATCCCCGAACATATTCGGGCCGGGACGGGTATCAGTGTCCAGTCCCGTCCCCCCGGCCCCGTCCCCGATCCCCGGCCCGGTTTATCCCCGATATTAAAATTACGATTTTACCCATATATATATATATATAACCACTAACTTTACCTTTTTTTTTATTTTTTTTGATAAACCACTGACTTTACCTTCTAGATATAAACCACTACCTTTACCTTTTTTCACCTCAGATCTTGTCTCCTCTCTCATACTCGTCTCCGGTTCTTCTCATCTTCCTCTGTTCACTGAGTTCTCTGTATCTCTCTCAATCCATCGCCACACACAGCATCTCTCATGCACTTCCTCCTTCTCCGACGTCGCTACCACCAGCCGCTGCTCACAGATCAGATTTTTTTTTTTCAGATCTGTTTTCACATTTTTTTATTAATCGTTTCAGATCTCAATCTGTCTCGGATGCATTGATGTTGTTTGTATTTTTTGAATTTTTTTTCAGATCTGTTTGATTTTTTTTTTTTTTTAGATCTTGTTCAGGTCTGATCTGTCTCGATGCAATGTATGTTGATTTTCTGATTTTTTTTTTCCAGATCTGGTTTTCACAATTTTTGTTTTGTTTTTAGATCATTTTCAGATTTGTCTTGGATGCTGGTGTTTGTTGTATTATTTTTGAATTTTTTTTTTTTTTTTTTTTAGCGGGGATGCTCGGGGTTCGGGAAACCGATCCCCGTTGGGGAGCGGGGGTGGTGATAGGCTCCCCGTCAGGGATCAGGGCCGGGGACGGGAAATTTTCTACCATCGGGGATCGGGGACGGGGAGGGTGATCCCCGCCCCGTTGCCATTCCTAGAGCTGGGTGATGGGCCGTTCTGTGGGCCACAGTAAAAAGGGCTAAGTAAAAGAGTTTTGTAGTTAGCCCGGTTCAGAAAGAGCTTTGTAGTTAGCTCGGTCACTACAGTTTGAGTAGTAGCAGTTAGCTCGGTCATACCACTAAGGACCGGGGTATTTTAGGCTTTTACTCAGAACCTTGCTATTGAATAGCTCGGTCCAAGCACGTTGTGGATAGCGTGGTCTCAAGAAGTGAAACCGAGGTACAAGTTGTAAAAGGAAAAGCCGAGCTAGTCAGAACTCGGTTAATTCTGCCAGTCTAGTATGGTTGTTTTAGCTCGGTCGTTTTGTCATACGACCGAGGTATAACTATCTCACTTGGTTTAAGCAGTTAGGGGGTGTTGAAGGATAAGCATTATCTTTCAGGAGTGTGATCCCTAGGAGGACTCTATGTGGAGAAATAAGAGTCCTACTAGGATTGTGTCACATGGAACCTATAAAAGCTCACAACATCACCTATGGAGAGATAACACAACTTTGATTCTTGAATTCACATAGCTTTTGTGTCTATTGTCTATTGTGCTGACTTAGGCATCAGAGGGGTTTCCGACACACCCGCCGGTTAGCTTACGTTTGTATTTTCAGGTGGCAAAGTGGCGACGTAAGGAGGGGCGCAAGCTTGTTCAACAAGATTATACGAGAAGAATTATTTCGTGCTTGTACAATTGGCGCCGTCTGTGGGAATCACAAAAAGAACAAAACCTTTTGATCAAAGTTTTCCTCGCTAAATTAGACGCAATGGCGCACAATGAAGATTTTTCGCAGTCCGCCATTGACGGACAAACCCCAGAGGGAGGTGGAAGGCGCGAAGGTTTGCCTTCCATCCCTCCCATGGCAGATTTAGAGCCCCAGCGGCAGAACCCCCGGAGGGATGCAAGGGGGAGGCCGGGTAACAGCCCCCGTCGCTCATCAAGTCTTGATAAGCAGAGGCAGAGGATCGACCCTCAAGTTTTGGAGGATCGGGTAAAGGAGTAGGACGAGTTAATCAGGAAGATGGCGGCGGACATGGAATTGATGAAGCTCCAGATAAAAGGGAAGGGGGTGGCTACAGGAGAGGGGCGCAAAAGTAATACGCCTCCTCGCCACTCGGAAGATCGTGGTAGGCATACCACACCGTCATAAGCAGTGAGTAGGAGCCTCAGGATAGGAGACACTCAATCAAGGACTGCCAGGACTCCTTACTCCAGGTTTGAAAGAATGAGGACTGAGAGGTCATATATTGAGGGAAGCACTTATCAGCCCTCACACACGCACCAGACGTCATCTAGGCAGACGGAGCTGCCTAGGTCGTCCGATTTGCGAACTGTGCTCGAAAAAAGAGCACGATGGAAGGAGGATGCCAGGGCACGCGACCCGCGCAGAGTTTCAGCTCTTCAGCGGTTGGCTCCTCCGACGCATGGGAGCTTCAAGGTAGGAATGCCAATACCACACCTTGTCTACGAACCAACAGATAAAGCATTAGCAAGGCTACATAGCTCGCCGTTCGTTCCGGCGATTGAGAACGCACCATTACCTTCAGGCTTCATCCAGCCTAAATTTACGACTTACAAGGGAAAGACAGATCCCCACATGCACCTAAGCCACTTTTGCTAGGTCATGGCAGTATATCGGTGGAACGAGGCTTTGATGTGCATCCTATTCTCATCTAGCCTTGGCGACCTAGGTTTAACCTGGTTTGAAAGGTTACCAGAAGGCAGCATAGCCTCCTGGGCGCAATTAGTGGAGGCGTTCGTGACTAGGTTCCGAACGAACACCAAAATGCCAGTGGAGATCGATCAGCTACTCTCCATTGACATGGGCAACAAGGAGACACTGAGATCTTACAACAGTCGCTACTGGGAGACCTTCAACCAGATAGAAAACTGCCCCACCAATCTTGTCATCGCGCAGTACAAAAAAGGGCTACTAGTTGGAAATAAGTTGAGGGACTCAATCACAATGATGCCCTCCCTCACGATGGAGGCCTTGATGGAAAGAGTACACTAGCATATTCGGGTGAAGGAAGACGACACACGTGCTAAAGCAAAATCTGGCACAACAGCAATGCCAGATAAAAAGACTACAACAAAAGTCAACACGATATAACAATCTAACAGGAATGGGCGTAGCAGGCAGGCTAACAGAGAGGACCCAGACAAAATGAGGTTAAGAGTTCGCACTGCCATTACCACAGTGTTCAAAAAACCAATCTATCGAATTCTCAGTGAAATACGCGATGAACCTTTCGTCAAATGGCCAGCTAAGTTGGGAGAAGCACAAAAAGACTATGACGAGAGGTCTCGGTGCACCTTTCATGATGAAAAGGGGCACGGCACTGAAAATTGCACGCCATTGAGGCAGCATTTGGAGGAGCTAGTGGCGGCTGGGCATCTGGACCAATACATAGAAGGAGGGACATAACCAGCCCCCTAGAACCACAACATCCTAGATGGGATGCCAGTCGACGCTCCACCTCAAGGCGTGATTAACATAATACATGGAGTATTTGAACCTGAGCGAATATGTGAACTCAGAGGAACGATTAAAAAGGCTGAGCACTTAAAGGAGGTATTAAGTGCACAACTTGTCATCAAGAAGGGGAGAACAGAGGCCACGAATGTCATGTCCTTTTCAGACAAAGACTTGGCAAGGATATATAGCCCTCAAAATGATGCTCTAGTCGTCACTCTACGCGTCAAGGATTTCGACGTCAAACGGATTTTGATTGACCAAGGGAGCTCATGTGAAATTATGTATTACGAAGCTTTCAAACAATTGAAACTGGAGGATAAAGTCTTGGCACCTGCTGTATCTCCCCTAATCGGATTCAACTCAATGCCAGAATGGCCAGTTGGCAAGATAATCCTCCCAGTCAAAGTAGAAAGCATGACAAAACAAGTGGAATTCTGGGTATTGGAAGTCCCTTCCACTTATAACATAATCTTGGGAAGGACATGGCTGCATGCCATGCGATCGGTAGCGTCAACCTACCATCAAGTATTGCGATTCCCCAACGAAGCTAGAGTAATTGAAGAGGTCTTTGGAGACCAAATTATGTCCAAACAATGCTTCGTCACAGTAAACGGTAGCCGCACTGCCAAAGGGTATGTACAGATGGTGG